TTCCTACCTCTTATGATCACTGTCATTGTTCCCTCACATCTTACTCCTTGTTCTCCACACAGATACTAATATCTTTCATTCCTGAACGTCTCCACACTTTTTCTTATTGTCTTTGTTTTATTAAACAGCAAACCACAGGTGATTTTTTTAATTCTTCGGAATCGCCTCTCATCCCCTTTCCATGTTTTGCTGCCGCCAGTTCTACGTCTGACCCTAAATGTTCATCTGCAAACATCAATTAATGTGCTTGCACAGTATTTCATTTATGACAAAACTACTCCGCATCTGCAATCACTTTTTAAACCAGCCACTCTCTAACAGTGAAGTACCTGTATGTTACAAAATAACCTTGTGATGGACTGGCATCCAGTCTAGGGTGTTCCCAGCCTTGTGATCTGTGCTACCTGGGATAGAACCCAGGTTCACCTAGACCCTATACTGCATTGGAAGAAGGATGGACATACTGCAAGCTGGAATTTGTGCAGGTTTTGTCAGAGTAATGCCAGTGTTTTATTTTAGTCATGCTTTGGTTATTTGTTTTATTATCAATACCACCTACTATTTAAAGGAATTGGTCTGTTGAATAATGTGCTGTCGCATTAAGACACAAACATATGATATGATGGGAAAGTGAATAGGAAAAGAGATACTTTGAGTATCTTTATATGAGTCTGGTCACTCCACAACAAAGCAGTAAAAATAAGCAAATAAATAACAAGCACCTGGGCAAAATAAATTGCCCATCCTGTTTTAAGAGTGCAACAGGTGGCTAAAACAGTCAGGCTGGCTGCATGTCATTTGCTGGGCTCACCATACGCTTCCACAGGCACGGACCGCCCACTCCCGAATGGGGTCAGGAACAGGTTTGTGATGTTCAGATGGTGAAAAGAGCGTGAAGATGATGTAAAAATACAGCCCACATAGGCCTATGTCTTAAAATACAACAGAGGCATCTAGGATCCTATTACCAAGCATCATCCAAAGCATATGCGGAGAGAATGTCATGGATCCGCAGTGTCGCCTGCATGCTGACTTTGCACTACAAGGACGTATTAAAACCAGTGTGACAAGAAACGGGATTTTATGTTAATACAGACTGAGAGGATGGGTTTAAAAAACCTCAAGTAGCGGCTGCATGATATTGAAAAAAATAATGCAATATTTGAGATTTTGCTATTAATATTGTGATATTTATAAAACAAAAAAGGTGATGAAATTTATCCAAAATAAATTAGGAATGCATGCAGAGCTCACGCAAAAGGAGCGGCAGTAAAGTTTAAACTATTTCTTAAAGTTTAAAAAGTTTAAACTATTTTTTTTTTTTTTTTTTTTAAACATATACTCCATTACCTTAAAGAAATCATTAAAATTGCAAGGCTTTGCTAAGTTTTGTTCCCTGTGAGAGTGGAAATGATTTACCATAACTTATTGTCTTAACCCAGCTAACTATCATAATCTTTGCGATTTGAAAATTGCATGTGTATAACATGCAATATCAATATTAATATTGCGCAACTCTTACAAGAATGATTGTGATTGATGTGCTGTGCATGCAGAGCCTGCATGTCACTCACTAGCAACAAACTCCATGCAACTAAAAACCCTTAAATTGGAGTAAAATATATCATGTAAGTTATGGAAACTGTGTGAGTTTTCAGTTTGTACTAAGCGGCAAAATAGTTATAGCATGACATGTTTAATTCGCCTTACTTCACTTTGAACATCCTGCGATTATTGTGCATGCTCACATTACGATGACGATAGTGAAACAATATATATCGTGCAGCCCAAGTCACAAGTGTACAGAATACATGCACAGGATCAAATTCAATTGAACCATTCAACTTTCAGATCTTTCTTGACATAAAAGCACAGGTGTCCTAACTATGACCACTGATTTCTATCGGGGATGTGTGTGCTCTTGCATACCAGCTTTGCACATCCCCAACTTTATAAGCATATTCACTTTCTCTGTGTATGTGAGGCATGATCACCAAGTACAGCAAGGCTGGTGGCTGGCAGGTTGTGCACAAATAAAAGATTAACCTCAGCAAATAAGTGAGAGAAAGCAGTGAGAACATGCAGGCTGACAGGTGACTGCTTCAGTGTTTAATATCCACACAAACTGAACAGGTTACAGTCACTAGCAGATCAAGATTCAACTTATTTCTCATTAGGAAGTGGTAATGCCATCTAAACGTCAAACACCATCTTAGCACCCTGACACATCAAAAATCAAATCAAATTCCTTCCACATGGATTCAAGATTAAACAACATCTTTAACATTTCCCTTCATTTAGATCATTTTCATACAAATTACTGATAGTCTCATATTTTATACAAAGTTCAATGGTGCTTTAATGAGGTTGTAATGTGAGGAGATGAAGAAAAAAATCCCAAGAAACCCAGCGAGATCAGGAGGAGAAACAGAGGAGAGAAAGGCAGGGTAACAGACGGGACAGGGGATGGGAAAAGGGGCCAGGGTGGGCAGCTGGATGGTGGGGCGGACGGCAGGGAATAGGGCTGGGGCGGACAGCGAGGGCAACAGGCGTGACGGGGGGCAGACAGCGAGGGCAACAGGCGTACAGTGAGCTTAGGAAGGATTATCTTGGGAAACGTTCATTGGTAAAGTGCAGAGAGAGCTGACATGCTCCGACACGCCCCAATACAGCCTGATACGCCCCGACACGCTCCGGCACACCGTGGCACATCCTCACTGTGCACCGGCCACTTCTATCACTGTCGAGCTGCAGTGTTTGAAAACGGGTGTTGGGGCACATAACGCCGGGCTGTTAGCGGGGGGAGGGGGTGCAGAAGATACGCTAACAAACCTACAGCGGACCTCAAAGGCAGCGGCACTCGGCAGCGTCCCCTGGGTCACGCTCAACAACCACGACGACTAACAGAACCTCCCCTACTGCCAAAAACCCGGATCCGGACTGCGAGCCGAGCCGCGGAAAAAAAAACCCAGAGAGACGCATACGGGAGCAGGACCTTGTGCAGAGCAGCGGACTTATGAGTAGGGCTGGGGGACAAAGCCGGACCTGCCCATGGGGGGCTGGGGGGGAGCTAAACTCGGCCCGGCCGGGTAATCATACCTAGGAAACTGGTAGGGAGCAGGGTACTGGGGCTGGGGAGCACCGTACTGGCCAAACTGGGGAGCTGGCGAGGCAGGGAATGCAGGATGCGTTGGGTAAGGGCAGGACGAGAGCCCGAAAGGGGGAAGAGCTGGGCCCTGGCCGGGGTAGGAGGGGAATTGTGCTACTGGATTCGTTGGGCCTGTAGGTGCAACTGCAACCTGTGAGTTTGGAGGAGCGCCGGGGTAAGGAGTGTAAAGCAGGGCAGGGCCCGCCTGCGCCGGGGGCCCGCTGGGAAAGCTGCTGCCACTCCCATTTGAGGCAGCAACATCACTGTGCTGCTGAGGCGGGGGCTGCCATGGTGACGGGACCCCAGGTGCCCCCTCCGGCTTGGCGCACGGCTGTGATGTCATCAGCCCGGGACCAGGGCCTGTCAGCTCACTGCTTCCCTCCCGCTTCGGGCGTAGGAGCTCCTGCAGCTTCTCGATTCGCACCCGACGCCTGTGGGCCAGTGAACGGAGCGAGAGGAAGCGATCCAGGAAGGACTCCAGGGAGAGAGAGCCACTGAGGAAGTCATCAGCCAGAGCCTAGGGGAGGGGCCAGCACACTCAATTAGCATATTAAAGGTGCTCTTAAAGAGACAGGCCTCCATTACCTAGAGACGGATGCACACCACTAGAATGTGATGCACTTCAGATAACACAGAGATATGTGTGAATGGTCGGAGCTTCCTCTTGCTTTCTTGCTGCTACATACCACCCTTTGTTTATTATGCACAGTACAGGTTGACACTTGTCTGACTCACCTCTGATTCAGTCTCAGTGCTGGCGCCCTCTGTCTGCAGCTGGAGGAAGAGTCCCTCGGGAGACACCTGTCCTGCTATTTGATCTGTGGGTGGGGGGCAGGGATTGTTTTAAAAATAATACCACCACCTCCCTATAGGATCCCAATAACAGGCTAATTTTGCTGCAATTTTCTAAGATGTTTTCAACCAGACACCTACAATTCTAATATCTTTAAGTGGCTTGCCGAGTGTCCTAGTCGCCCCCCCCTCCCCCCAGCCACCCATGGCAGCCACACCTCTGTGAGCGCAGTGCTGCTGGTATGTGGCCCTCACGCGCTCCAGCTCTGCGTAGCGCTCCACCAGCCGCAGCCTGCCCTGCTGCAGCTGGGGCTTCAGCTCCAAGTTCTGCTCGGCCAGGCTGCGGTTTGAGGCCAGTGCCATCTCCCTCTCCAGCTGGGCATTTTGCACCTGGGCAGGACAACAGCATGTTCACACACACACAGATTTGCAATTATATCTTGGGGACTCTCCATTCATCTCTATGTTGAAAACTCATAAGTAACCAAACAAAACATGAGACTTTTGGCATTTTTAGTTTTTTGATTGCATTCAAAGATCTTTGTGGGGACCTGAGAAATGGTCCCCACAACGTCAAAATAAGAGGTTTTTATTAAATGTTCCCCACAATGTAAACATAATCTGCATGCATGGACCTGACCGTCCAGCGTCACACAGCTCCTAAGCCTGACTAGTAAAATGTGTCATAATTATAGACAAACACTAACTGAAATCTCAAACAGATGCAATTTTTATGTCTTTTGAGCACACTGAGCACACATCAACAGTGCAGGGTATAAAACGCAACTGAAACTTTGACTTTAATCACCTGCAGATCGCCCCTTTATCAGTAATCACCTGCACCAAATGTTTCCTGTAGTTATATATCTACACAAAAATGAGAATTAACTTGCACAGCCCTCTTCAGGTCATGCCAAAGCATCTCGATAGGGTTAAAGAAAGTGCCCGTATTTATAAAGCTTCTCAGAATCACTCCCAGGAATTGCACTAAACATCTCACTATGATAACAATTTATCCTACTTCAGAGTAGGACCTGAGAAGCTGCTATGAAGTGTCCCTTAGCCTCAAACTGATAATAAAAATGATGTGTTGTAGGTTTCTGATATTGCTGCTAAACTACTGGCATACAGAGAAAGTACAAGAAAAAACTGTGATGCACAAAATCTACTGTTATTTCTAATAAGGAAAATAATAATAATAAAATAAAAACAATAATAATTATAATGTCAATGTAGAGCAGTGTTTCTCAACCCAGTCCTCAGGGATCCCAGACAGTCCATATTTTTGTTTTCTCCCGGCTCCCAACACACCCATATCAGGTATTCTGAGTTCTTGATTGGTTGGAAGCTGGGAAGGAGAAAAAATGTGGACTGTTTGGGGTCCCTGAGGACTGGTTTAGGAAACACTGATGTAGAGTATAAAGAAATACGGAAAAACAAGGGTCATTGCTTGCTTTTGCTGAACGATATTACAGCTGGAAAACTAAATTTAAAACTGTGTAACAGATCTTGAAACGTAGCTAGAATGTAAATTAGCCTGCCATCCAGGACATTCCATCGTCTTTGTTAATTTTGTCTGCTCATCATTGAAGACAATATGACAAACATACCATCCATTGAAAAGAGAACCAGGACTCCAATAAACTAAAACAAGTCTGGTACATTATCATGACTCAAAGAATATCACTTCCTGTTTTTACTGATGTCACTTCCTGTTTCCCTGCTTTCAGGAATACCTCCCTGGTGTTCTCACTTGAAGATGTATTTAGAGATTATTAATTATAACTGATTATTAATAATTCCATTGTGCCCATTCACTACCAGTGATGGTAAGTGAGCGACAGACGATTTCCCAGATTTCTGTATGGGCACATTTTAATTAATATTTCAATGCTTGCAAGTGCACTTCACATTCAATAGCTGTCTCACAGTCACTGGTGGTGAATGTACGAAGTGTGATTATTAATAAATATTTAGAAAAATATATAACCTGAAAGTTAAATGGTTTATATTGTCCCCCACAGTCTAATGCTTAAAGCACACTTTACTGGAAATATCTGTGTCATCTGTGTTTTATACTTATTAATCCATTAAATCTATCCTTCGTACTTTGAACTGAAATAGTGCAGTTATTAATAACACAAAGGTACTGCGAGATCTCACAAAAAGACTTTTTTCTTCCAGTAATTTTTTTTTCTTTGCGATGGTAACAAATACTCTTCAATTCCTGTCAAACGACACCTTTTCTCCATTCCCAGAATGTGTGATCCTTTGACTTTAATCACCTGCAGATCCCCCCTTTATCAGTAATCACCTGCACCAAATGTTTCCTGTAGTTATACATCTACACAAAAATGAGGATTAACTCAAGCTCTCCTAAATCCTGGCAGAGTTAAAAATGCTTTTCGAGGATAAGAGCATTAATAAAATGCTTGACCCTAAAAACAAGAGCAAAATTGTGTCACTCTGACACTTTTGGGCCACTTATAACAATCTTCCTACTCTGAGACGCTTTATAAATATGGACACAGGACTCTGAACCTTATTTTTTTTAACCATTCTTCAGTTGATTTAGCTGTGTGCTTTGGGTCACTGTCTCGGTGGATCACTCAACGTCTCTTAGGCTTGAGGTCATGGACTGCTGCCCCTACATTCTGCTGTAAAATATTTTGATACACCTTTGAAGTCCTTGTTCCCTCAATGATCGCATGGTGTCCAGGCCCTGAGGCAGCAAAGCAGCCCCAAACCACGCTGTTCCCCCTCCACCATGTGTCACACTCTCAATGAGGTTTTTATGTTAGTGTGCAGTGCCAAACATGCTTTTATCCTCCAAACATAGTGTTGCACATTTGGGCTAAGAAGTTCCACTTTTGTCTCATCGGTCTATAAAACATTTTCCCGGAAGTGTTGTGGAACATCCAAGCATTCTTGGTCACTTGAGACAGGCCGCAACGCCATTTTTCCACAGCAGGGGTTTCTTTTATGATATCCTTCCATGAATACCATTCTTGTGCAGTGTTGTTCTAATAGTGTACACTGGAACAAAGGTTTTTGCAGTTTGTAGAGTCTTCTGTATGTCTTCTGCAGTTACCCTTGGGTCCTTTCTCACCTCTTGCAGTATTGCCCATTGTAGTCTTGAAGTGATCTTAACAGGCATAGCCCACTCCTAGGGAGACTAGCAACAGTCCTGATTTTTCTCCATTTGCAGTGTATGCAGGTCTCTGACACTCCCTAATTAGATTACTAATTACAGGACGTATTGGCTGAAGAGTCCTCACACCTGGGTTTGAAAAAGCTGACCTAAAGGTTAGCCCAGAAACCTGCAAACACACCGACCCTTTGCAGATAAGATTGCCCACCCCTGACTTAGAGGTTCACTTATGTTTTCTAGCCTGCACTGCACTGTGTGTATTTCCTCAATATGCTCAATAAAGTATAAAAAGACATTAAAAGTGCACTGTTTGTGTGTTATTAGATTAGTTAGATTGTGTTAGTCTATATTTATGACTTAGATGAAGAGACCGCATTATATTAGCAATCAATGCACAAATCCGGGTAATTGCAAAGGATTCACATACTTTTTCTTGCAACTGTGTACTGAAATTTGTACTGAATTAAGATAAACAAAGACGACCATAAAAAATCAGCCTCATCTTACACTCAAAATGAGATAAATCTAACTGTAAATTCAGGTATAATTTTTCAAGAGATGAACTGACTAAAAATTACTGTGAAAGCAGCTCCCTCCCTGAAGATTGCTGCTATTAGGGCAATAATTAAGGATTTTAAAATGGCTGCAGCTGGGATGTTCCTACCCAGAAGCAAATGCCCCTCATGCACAGTGAACTGGACAATTCTAGACAGCTATGGATTTGTAGAAACTGACTACATCCTTGTTCACAAATCTCTAAATCTACCATTACCAACAGAATGCATCTGCCGACATCCACCATACGCATCAGTACCTACAGATTAATAAAACTCGCAACAAATCTTGACTGAGTCTGGGTTCTGTTGTCAGAAAAGAATGAAACAGCTTTCTGGCAGCAAATGGCAGAAGTGCTTTGGAGTAAAACGTGCCACAATCGAGCAGAAAGGCAGCTGACGTCACTGTGTTGCAGACCGGTAATGCTGTGGGGCTGTTTTTCCGCACTGGAAGCAAACACACCTGGCAAATAGCTGGAGATCTCAGTTCAGCATCTGGCTGACATAATGCTGACTATGAAAAACACTTCGCAAAAACTAAAGTGAACTTGGTCCAGTATTTTTCATTAATTTAACTGTAAATCTAAATCCGAGTTAAATTGTGAGGACAGGTATTATGTAAATTAGTGTAAGGTGACCCAAACAAATCAGGACCTCAGTCTTTCCCGGGCTTTACAAAACCTGACGCTCCAAACAACTGACAGGTGACCATGGTTCTATAAAATATTTGGAGTAAAGTTCTTAATTTTAACAGGGTCTTTGTGTTAAATGCCATTTTTTTCTTTCAATAATTAGCACTCATTTGTGATATTCTCCGTAACTTTCTTAAATGTGTCTTGGGAATAAAGTTTTTTTTAAAAACTGAATAGAAATTCTGTCCATTTTACTGTCACTGGTTATATATGCAACTAAAGCCATTTGAACGACTGAATCACATTAAAAGATTTCAGAATGTCTGCAGATAAGAGTGCCCAATAACAGTGCCCATTACACACAACAAAGCCCCCTATAATGTTTTTTTACAGTGGGTACCTCATCGGACTCCAAAGCCAGTGACTGGACCCGGTCTGCATCATCCAGTAAATCCTGCAGCTCTGCCTGGCTAAGGTGCTGAAGCTTTTCCATCAACCTGAATCAGGGACACACATGAGCTGCGATGAGTATATTTACACAGACAACTGATCACTGACCTATAAAGTAAAAATTCAAGCTCAGAATAAAACTCTCACACTAACAACAAATCGCTGATTAAACTACTATATTATTTATAATTATGGCCGTAATAGTGATGTAACAGAAAAATAAAATACAGGAGGCAGAGTGCATTCAACACAAATTATACATTTACAACCAGGATCCATTATTAGGAGCCGAGGAAGCTACTTACCGGCGCTGGGAAAGACACAGCAGGCTGCGGCGGCCCCGCTTTCACAGGGCGGACTTTCTGAACTGCCTATGCCGGGACAGAAATGGTCATCGTGGGGATATGGTTAGGGCTCTGATGATAGATTTGATGTTATCATGATATGTTTAGGGTTAAGGTTATGGTGAAAGATCTGGGATTATAAAGACACATTTAGGATTATGATGATATATTTAGGGTTATGGTTGTGATGAAGATTTAGAGTTATGACAATTGACTTAGGGTAGTGCTTATAGATTCAGGGTTACGATGATAGATTTTTAATTACGATGAGAACGGTAGTTTTATACAGCCGACCGGAAAGGTTGGTACCGGAGCGAAACAATACTCACGTTGGGCTATCAAATCAGACACGCTGAATGTGGGTCCACATTGACTGACATTCACGGGAATGACCGAGCGGTCCTGCTAAGAGATAGAACCGAGCCGAAAACGGTCCAAACAAAGAGAAAGTGTCTGTCCGAAATGCGGCGTTAGCCGAACAGCTAGCGCTCCGACGGGATACACAAAGCAGGCGCCGGCTAACTTTACAGGGCTCACCGAGCGGATCAACACCGGCTCTCCACGCTGCTACCCGTCGACGACTAAGTCATAACCAACCCAGGAAAACACAGCTTGCAACCTCAGTTGCGCTTCGGTTCCGTCAAGCTGTTCCTCGTTTTCCGAAAAGTTTCACTTGAGACTGACAGAAACCAGCGGCCATTTTGGGTGAACCAATTACCTAGAGGTGCGGGGGTGTGCTTGCTCTCTATGAAACCCCGCCGATATTGATATTAAAACACAATTAAACTACATAAGTGCCATGGAATTCTTTGCTGTACATATAATATAATAAGCCCTAAAATGTTGGTTACACTGTAGTATAATCGGTTTCGAGTTAAAGCAATGGTACGGTCTGCAGTGCCACCGGTTTAAGGGGAAACCCCATGCACGTGATTGGTACGTTACGCAAACACGGGTGTGATAGGGATTTGTCACATAAAGGTAAATAATAACCCGACAAAAACGTGAAATATATACAAAAAGATTCAACGAAAGTTGAAGGGATTGCCAAGATACGGTCACTTCCATGTATAATTCCACGCAAAAGGAATATCATGATGTTGTACATTAATTTTGAATTACAAGAAAACTTCTCGACAGTTTTTAGTAACAGTTAAACATTTTCAATAATGACTACCAGTTTTAGGAACAATATATTTATGTTTTAATCTTACACATGATATAACAAACATACAACCTAATAAATGAAAATATAGGTCAGAAGACATGATAAATTGTATAAAAAGTTTGATACAAGAAAAAAAAACACTAAACGGGATACAGTTCACAGTTGAGATCCTATAAACAGGATTATGGCAAACATAAATCATATTATAGGGTACTAAATAAAACCATAGCAAAATCATACAAGAGAAAATGTCTACAGGTTCTCACTCATTTTGGAACAGAAGATTATTTGGATCTAGATCAAATACTAAGTAGACTTACAACATCTGTCAACTTTTTAAATAAACTGACAATGTTGATCTTTGATATTTGATAATAATGTTGCTGCTCTACATTTTTATGTACAAGTTCTGATTATACAGTTCTGGAAAAATTGAGACCATTCTAAATGGAAAAAAAAAAATCTGCATTTTTAAACTCTGGTTTAATCCCGGTTCTGCTGGCAAAGGGTTACACTGTGCCTGACACTGAAAATTTTACTGCGGCCTCTTAATTTTTTCCAGAGCTGCATATACACGTTTGTCAGACAGTGTTGTGCTAATCCATGAATCCATAATTTAATGGGACTGATTATTTTTCAGGCCTTTCAGTGCAGAAAATGAAAGGAGAGTGTGAAGCACAAGAGCCACCAGATCATAAAAAAAGAGCAGGGTTGCGATACCTGTAAAGAAATCCTGGAATGAGAGGGAGACAGCAGTTACAGACTGGAATGGTGTAGTGCAGATGCTGATAGACACATTACAGACTGGAATGGTGTAGTGCAGATGCTGATAGACACATTACAGACTGGAATGGTGTAGTGCAGATGCTGACAGACACATTACAGACTGGAATGGTGTAGTGCAGATGCTGATAGACATATTACAGACTGGAATGGTGTAGTGCAGATGCTGATAGACATATTACAGACTGGAATGGTGTAGTGCA